TTATGCCGGATATATCAGCATTTTTTGCTAAGCTAACGATGGCTTGATTATCAATGTCATCTTTGCATGAGATTGTTGCTACAATGATAGATTTTTCTTTCTCTATGTATTCTTTAACTAGTTCTTCGATTAGTGCGATAAATTTTTCATCTTCTGAGTATATCCTATTGAATTTGACATGAAATTTAATGAAAATAATAATAATAATAATAATAATAATTTTTCAAAAAGTTACAGTATGATATTAAGAAATTAACGTACTTATGATTCCCTGGCAAATCAATCAAACTTAGATTTGGGACATCGGGTAAATTTAATAGCATTTGATTTAGAATCATCATCATAATTTTTATTACCAAAATCCCAATTAAAATATATGTCACTATTTTTCCTTGGATTTAATAGAGCTTTTTGTGCCCTACGTGCCATTAATTCCACATCATCGGGATTAATTATTAAAGGACCGAATTTTGATTCAATTGGTCGATTGAGTCTGTTTTCATTTTCATCATACTCTTTACGCAAAAAAACTTGACACATCCACTCATCTACATATTCGCTAAGTCTTATTTCCATTACGCACCTTGTACAAGTGCCATCAGATCTTGGGAGCTATTTAAACAAAATTATATGTATTTCAAGTGTTGATAATAATAAAAACTCAATAAATGATACTAAAAACATAAGATAAAATACCTTGACTCCCGAAATAGCTTCGATCAAACTACTTTTTCCAGCTGATTGATTACCGCAAAAAACTATTGTTGGTAAACTGACTGTAGAGTCAGTACCGATTCGACGTAATTCATTTATAATATTAACATAACTTGATGCTTTTTTTGTATATGGTGTGTTATTTATTGCGTCTAATTGTGTCATCTTTTTTATTTTTTATTTTTTCTATCTTGGAGAAAAAAAAATTAAAAAAGAAAGAACGAGACGACCTCTTTTTATTTCCAAAATTACAAATAATATGCGTAATAATTTTTACTTTGTATCGGGCATTCATTTATTATGAAGGATACAGTAAAGGAATATTACGCTGTAGTAACTTGTGACGAGTCATGACCTATGAATAGACTTGAGTCGGTTAGTCTATTTGAATCGACTAATATTGTGTCAAGTCCATCAATAGAGATACTAGAAAACACGTATGTATCGGTATATATTAGACTTTGTCAGGGCGGCCCCAAAGTTCGGATGTGTCACTGTTGCTGCATTTAATGGGATCTTTACTAATAAAATGATACTTTGGAATAATTAATTATATAGTCTTAAAGAACCATTTATAGTAATCCGAACTTTTGCTGACGAAACCTATATATTATTTAAATCAAGTCAAGAGGATTACTATATACTATATAATAACAATGGCACGCTCATATGATCAATCTTTCTCTTAGAGATAAAGAGTTTAAAAATTCATTGAATCATGGGGCATCATCATTTGTCGTTCGCAATATTCTTCTTTGCATTATAAAATAAAATTTTTTATAACGATTTTATTACCGTTACAATAATGAAGTAAATTTTATTATTATTTATTATTTTTATTTTATTAAATATTAAATTTAATGCATATATTAGAAGCAGTATTAATCAAATGTAAGTATTTCATTTTATAGACTTCATTGTTGATTACGTTAACTTTCCCGATCTCCTTTATAGTAATAAATTAATTTAATGCAAACGTGATGGAACTTGGGTGTTCCACTTTCACACACATACTAATTAACAATGCTTACGCGTAAACATCGCACAAACGTGTAGTATAGCAAATGCAAATGTCATTTTAAACTTTGAATAAAATTTCCTTTTCATGAAAATAAGTAGTGATATATAAAATAATAACATATCGTCCCGAATGGCAATCAGAATGGATAACTAATGATTTATAGTTATTATTA